GGGGTCTGTGGAGTAGATGGTTTTATCAGATCAATGTTGATGTCCTGATTTTGATGGTGCGTGCCACGGTTACGTAGGAGAGCAATTTAAAAGGCGTGTTCACCACAGCCAGGACACCATCAACACTTCCTGGCCCCATGGCTTGGATAGATTAGGATAATAAGCATGGATAATGGATATGATTCTGAGATTCCAGTCATCTGCAAGCAGTCCACTGTGAAAGAACTCAGAACACAGGGTAAGGGGTTGACACTAAAAATGAGAATCAGAGAGCAGAGTGAAAGGAATGCCAAGGTGCGCAGTAGAGGGGACACAGAGCCAAAGGTAGAGGAAGCATGGAGCATGGGATAGGAGCACTCAAGAAGACAATTACCCTGCTTGCTCTTGGATTTGGGGAATAATCAAGGATAACAAGTATGAGAGGAATAAAGGGAACAGTTAGGCTCAAACTTAATGTCTTTATCATATTTGTTATCAGGAGACCACGGTTCTGTTCCCAGTTTCATGAAAAACTAGTCATACGTACTATTCAGCAATAAAAAGGAACAAAATACTGATATATGCTACAACATGACCCTCAAAATACAACATGGGCTGGTGTGTGTGGCACAGGCCTGTAGTCCCAGCTACTCAGGAGGCTGAGGCAGAAGGACCCCTTGAGCCCAGGAGATTGAGACCAGCCTGGGCGACATAGCGAGACCCCATCTCAAAACAAACAAAAATATCATGGTAAATCAAAGGAGCCAGACACAAAAGATCACATATTTTACAAGTCCATTTATGTGAAATGTCCAGAAAAGGCTAAACTATAAAGAAAGAAAGTAGATTAGTGGTGGCCTGGAACTGGGGGTGGGAATGTGGGTCAACTGTAATCTGCTCTGTGTCTCAATTTTCTCATCTGATGTATGGTGGCAATGATAGTACCTAACTCATGAGGGTTCTTGAAGATCAAATGGTATAATACAGGTTAAAAACAAACTTCATTGTCCAACATTCAGTAATGGCTCAAGATGTACACACATCTACACAGCTTGAGAACCTGGAAAATAAATTTATTTCCAGGTTTTAGTAAGCCTTAAATAAATCCGGAAATAAATTTATTGCAACATGCATGTAATAAATTATAGACATAGAAAAAAGCATAAGTTTATAATTAAAGATTCTGTGACAAACTATATTTTGTCCTAAACCTATTCCTTAATCAAGGTAAATAGCTTAAAATACTTTAGAATTCTGAAGATATAGATATATATGTGTGTGTACATATAAAGTATAACAAAGGAAAACACACTAGATCATTTCTCTAATATCTATAGTCTAAATAAAGTATAAAAAAATGCTGAGACTCTTTCCCAGCCTCCCTATCTTCGTAAGTTGACATTTTGGTGTGCAATTCCCTAATTACATGATCTTTCAGTATTTTCCATATTTTCTATACATTAAAAATCCTTCGCTGGCCGGGCACGGTGGCTCACACCTGTAATCCTAGCACTCTTGGGAGGCCAAGGCAGGTGGCTCGCTCAAGGTGGAGTTCGAGACCAGCCTGAGCAAGAGTGAGACCCCGTCTCTACTAAAAATAGAAAGAAATTATCTGGACAACTAAAAATATATATAGAGAGAAAAAATTAGCCGGGCATGGTGGCGCATGCCTGTAGTCCCAGCTACTCGGGAGGCTGAGGCAAAAGGATCGCTTGAGCCCAGGAGTGTGAGGTTGCTGTGAGCTAGGCGGACGCCACGGCACTCTAGCCAGGGCAAGAGCCAGACTCTGTCTCAAAAAAAAAAGAAAAAAAATCCTTTGCTAAAAATGGACTTCCATTTCACATTTTTACACTAGGAATTTTTTATTATAAAGAGTAAGATGTTGTTCATCGCTGACAATAACATCCAGACCAACAAACTCTGAAAGTCAATACTAGTGGGGCCAAAGGCACCTACCTCACTGACATAAACACACTCTTCCATGTTTTCATGTCTTTTATAACATAGGCTATGGTACTGGAGGCACCAAAGGTCTCCCTTCCCAGCAGGTATCAAATAGTGATCTAAGATACTGCTTTATGAACCCAATCCTGCTTCATGAACCCACTCTGTATCTGACCCTTTCAATAGGTACACAAAGTGAAGTTGCTAATCTACCACTCTACCAAATAAACAGTTGTTTAATCACTTGAATAACTACCACAGTGAATATAAGCTGTATATCTTTGGTTAAACTACTCTCTTACCAGCATCACATTTATATTCTCTAATTTATGATCTCTCAATTTATAAAATGTACTTATGTTTTCATTATTCTCTTATTCTTTAAGTATTCCCAGAAAAAGCTTCTAACAAGAGAATGGAGACAAACTTCAACATTTAATAAATTTTATCTTGATAACATCAAAAACAACTTTAGCTTTCACACTGCATTATAAAAAATACATTAGTCTTCACATTAGTTTTACATGGAAATATATAATTATTTGAATATTTAAATATAGCTTTTCTTTAGCCAAAAAAAAAAAGTGTTACTCAGAGCCCTAGTTACATAAATAATTTAAAAGCACAAATGCGAAAACACACTTTACACAATATTGTCCACATACTGTATAACTCAGGACAATTACAATAAAAATCTATGCAAGATACTGAACAAGAACAAGATTAATAAAATACTCATTATGAATGCAATTTGATTTCTTACTCTTAAAAGAATTTAATGCATTCTTGAACACACAAAAGCATCAACTGTTTTATCTAATCTGCAAATGAAGCCAACATTTATTTAGACAAAAGGGGCACATCTTGTATCCTACGGAATTCTGAAAGTAACTCATTTCCAATTTAACTTAAATTATAAGTTTTACAATTTCAAGTTTTCAAACTTGTCTAAAATAATGATTATAAGAACTTAGTAAATATTTCCAAACTGTTAAAAAAAATCATCGGTGTATTATGTTATAGTTTTGTATGTTTGATAATATAAATTTTAAATGAGGCTTTTCCCTGCCCCCTCTCAAAATGGCAGACTTAAAAATGGTAAAGATGGTAAATTATGTATGTATATTTTACATTAATAAAAAAATTTTTAAACCTCCAATGTGAAAAAGGTAAGGGGAAAATTTTAAATTTTGATCACTTAAAGTTTAAGAACTGTCCTCTCTGCATGATGACACATACTTACATAGTACATTATTTCCATATGATCTCTTTTAAACTTATACAGGTAGAATGCAGAACATCTATTAATAGTACTTAGGGGAACTATGTGTCTATTCCATGGGAAAAAAGACACCAATACCCACAAATATAATATTTTTATATACTAGCCATTTACTTCCTCATCAGTAGGACAGAGCTTTCTTCCCAAATTAAAACTGGAGAATTATTTTGAACTAGTGGCCCACAGTGATATTTTAAGAAAGGAAACTAAAATATATTTGTATATGAGGCAAGGTTGAAGAAATGCTATATATGCTGCTTTGCAACTAAAAATATAAATATTTGTCCATTTTTTTCCAACATAACTACTGTTTAAATTTAGAAGGAAAGAAATTACAACAGAATTCCATTAAAACATACCCACAGGTTAAATGATGGCCCCTGAAATAAAACCACATTTAGAAGCCAGCTTTTACACTATTATTTCATTAATTCTAAGATAACACAGTTTTATTTCTGAAATCAAGATACAGTTTACCACTGATCCAAGTTTCAATAAAATAAGGTAGTTACACGATACAGCTGAAATTCATGTTTCCCCTTAACATGGACAGAAAAAGATCCAGGATCTTGGCTTAACATGAATGAATGATAACTGATTTTATCTGTACCAGCTCAACCAGTGGCCCTGAATAAGGGTTCTAAATATATTCTTAGTACCCCAAATTTAAACTGCATATCATCACATCTTTTATTTGAACTACCAAAAAATCAGTTAGCAAGTTTAAGACAAACTAATGTACAAATACAGGTTTTCACTTGCAAAATGGGCCTCCACATAGGTTACTGGTTTTACTCAATTTTTTGAAATATTAAGATACATAGTTTACTAATGACAATTAATGAACTGCTCAAATAATATTACCAAACCAATAATTTCACTTGAAGCTATTAAAAAATGATAAGATAAAGTCGAAAATATTCTGAAGAAATAAGGCCACAAAGTAACCTGGATTTTCACATTAAAACACCAACACTTCACGTAGAGGATGGATTGAGGTGGCTTAAAAAAAAAAGGCTGATCACACTGACAAATCATTTTCGCCTTAAGATCTGATAACGCCAAAGAAAAATCACAGACACTGTATGTGTGCATGTGTCCAAATGAGACAAGTTAGAGACTTGCAGATCCAATTTAAATGAAGCAAGAGTTTGTTATATACATGAAATCACCAGGCAGTTTTTAAAAACTGGATTCAAGATTATGGAATCTCATTCTCTGGAATGCTTTTAAAAGGCAGATAAATTATGGTTTGTTTGTCATCATTTAAGTCAACCCCATTCAGAAGTTGAGATAATTCATTATAGTTCCTTCTTTTTAATTATCCAGTTAGAATATTATATTAACAATGCCACTCTGCAACACAAAGAATGTAGACATGTGTGCATTGTTCCAATTTTTCAAAAGCAATATAAGATAGTATTAATAAGTTTGCTATATTCATTCTCAAAATATTATAACTTGCTGGCATGAAAGAGAGAATCAAAAAATAAATAAGAGGGACATGATTTGAGGGACAAAATTCTATATACTGTGCTAAATTATGACATAAATTAAGGTAAAGCTCTTCTACAAAAAATGGACGAAAGTTGCTTTTGAATCGTAAAAAAAAAAAATGGACCCTAAACACTAATTTCAAATGAATATAAAAGGTTTGAAAAATAATATTTATAGCAAAATAGTTAGTTCAAGGTTAGTTTTCTCACCAAAGTTGGGAAAGCTGTGTGTGCTAAGTACCAAGTATATTTCAATTGAAGTACTGAATCCTCAACTATCCTTAACACAAAAGCTTCTTCTATTTCATCTCGCTGCCTCTCAATTTATTTGATAGCCGAGTCGTCATTCTCTTAGCATGTGATGAAGAATGTGATAGACTTCTCAAAGCATATGGTTTAACATGGTCAGAAGAACTTTCCTTTTTGCTATTGTATTTTTTATTACCATTCTTCCTTTTTCTTGCAGTATTACCATACTTCTTCTTTTTTGCAACACGGCAAAAACCTCGCACAGGTTGCTTCAGAGAAAGACTTGATATAGCGCTTGACGGCTCTTCAGCACCAGCTGGTGGAACTGAGGAGTTCAAAAAAATTTTAGCTGGTCTCATCACGTTCCTTAGCCTACTCACAACAGATTTTTTCTTCTTAAGCTGCATTCCAATAAAAGTGCTCCTGGATTGATATCTACGACGTAAAAAAACAGAGTATTTCGAAATATACTTTCTAATTATATCACTTGGTTTGGTCCGAATCCAAATTGACTGTTTTTCTGAAGCTATTCCGGTTTTCTGCTGGAGAATAATTGGTTTTAAAACCTTTTGGGGAAAATCTGGCTTATTAGCAGTTGTCACCTTCCTTCCTTGAAGTTTCTTTTTATCTTTACTTCCTGCTAACTCTTTTCTAATCGATTTTGGAGACATATCGGCAATATCACGCTTTAAAATAATCAGCTGGAAATGAGCTCCCTTTGGAACCTCACTAGCATTTGGAGACTCTGAGTCTTCTCGCGACAGAGAAGAGTCATCAGTCCTGTTTTGCAAACTTAATTGGGATCTTGCAGGCACTGTCATTAAGGGTCCTGAAGAAGAGCTCTGTCCATCAGCATCATTATCTCCTGCACTGGAGTTTGCGTTGTTCTTGTTAAAATGAATTTTAACCCAGTTTGGATTGTCAAGCTCTGGTACTATTATGTTCAGTGGAGGATTAGTTACAATTTTCTTAAACCATGAGTCATAATAATTAAAGGGGTTCCGTCTATATTTGCATATAAACCGTATATCATTATCCCAACTCATTTTGGAGAAGTGAAGGCATTCACCTTCCTGCAGTTTAATATTTAGAGAAGAAAGAACATAGACTAAGGCTTTGGATTGCATAGGCCTCAAAACTTGAGTACATGATTCAGGAAAGTCAAATGTGGGACATTTGACTTTCTTTTTTGCTTTTCTGTTAACCTGTGAATGTATGCGCTTACTTTTTGGTGAGCCCTCCTCTTGTCTACTTCGTTTTCTTTTCATCATTGGGAAATTCACAAAATTGGTTTGAGTTCCATGACTAACTTTCACAGTCTGGCATGGAGAAGGCACATGCCTCTCTTGTTCAGGAGGCTTCTCCGCTGGAGGAGGAGGATGGCATGGTTTATCTAAGGCCACTGAAGACTCAACAATTTTTGAAACACTACTTGCAGTATCATTACAATCTGATGGAGCTTGAATTGATGCAGTGTCCTGAAGGTCAGCCCAGGTAACCCTTTTTTTTTTCTTAGTCGAAGAAACCTTTTTGGTCTTTGAGTCATCATCAAAGTAACAGTGGAAACGACCTTCCCTAAATTCCTTCACAAGAGTGTTAATTTTTATGTCATCTTCTCTCATTATTTGAGACCATGTTTTTCCCACAAATGAAGGAGGGACATGAGGCAAGGCTTCAAGAACTGGTTCATCAGTATTATCTTCTACGATTTCCTTTGCTTTTTCCAGGTTCTTTACAGAATCAACCATGGGAACAGAGCTTGATTGGGAATCATGGTTGTTTTCTTCCACGTCAAAAGATACCTTCTTAAATGGGTCTGTTTTATTAACAGCTTCTTGAGGCTGGTCAGTGTCAGACTGAAGAGAGGGATCACGTTGAAAGTTCGTCTGAGACCCACAAGGTTCACAGCTCACACTTTTTAGCTGTCTACGTTTTGACTGCAAACGGGTTTCTTTAGCAGGCATTTGATGTATCACTGACTCGGAAGAGGCATCAAAGTCCTTGGCAGAAACACTGGATTTACAGTTCTTACCTTTACGGCCAGTACTTCTTAGATCTTTCCTATCTTTCTGATCTTTTTGAAGGTTGACTTTTTTGCGAGCTTTCTGCTGGCGGCGAGTTACTGGCCGAGAAGTGGCTTTCGAATTAAAATTTCCTTTAGGACGCTTAGATTGACGGCACTTATATCCTGGGTCAACATATTTCGCCATTTCTCGATCAGGCTCTTCTGACTGGTAAGTCATCAACTGATCAGAGGCATCAACATTAAAAGTTATTTCAGAACCACAAGACTGACAATTTGAATTGCCCAGAATAATATAATCTTTCTTCCGGTTTATTATTTTAAAACTCTCTTCGGATTCGCTTGTCACTGATGGAGGAAGGGGTTCACAAACGCATCTTACTTCAGGACCAAAAGAGTCACAGCTCTCCTCTTCTTCATCGATACATTCTGCTTGTATACAGTTGATTTCTTTGACAGTCATTTGAGGTGGGTCAGTCACTAACTCAAGAGGGATGTCAGGATCAGAAATTACTTCACAATCACCATCACCAGGCACAACGTCCACAAGTACCACTTTTGGAAGATTTGTTTCTTTGTCTGACGGTGGATACTGGTTAACTACTATTTCAAAAGGGCCATCAGAATCACACATTTCAGAATCACTAGGTTCACCAGTCTTTTCTTCCATACCAAGATGATTTTCCTGCTGAAAATTTATTTCTCTGTAAGCCACCTGAGGCTGGCAAACTTCTGACTGAAAATGAATACCAGAACCACATTGTATTTCAGAACCATAGAATTCGCAGTTCTTATTTTCTAGGTCATTATGATACTGCTTTTGTAAGTTTATTTCTTTGACAGACACAGGAGATTGATCAGGCACAAAATGAACAGGAACAACAGAATCGCAATTCACTTCAAAGCCACCTAGTCTATAGCTATTATCTTCCAGGTAAATATGGTCTTCCTTCCAAAGATTTACTTCTTTGACAGCTTTTTGAAGCTGGGTAGTTGCTGACTGAAAAGGATCACTGGAATCAAAGCTTACTTCAGGAGCACAAGGATCAATGCTCTTATCTTCTAAATTAGGATGCATCTCTTCCAAAATTTGTGGTTGCTTAATCACTGACTGAAGAGGAATATTTGAAACATAAATTATTTCAGAATCATGTGGTTCACAGCCCTTATTATCCAGATAAACACGTTCGTCCCTCAGAAGACTTCTTTCTTTAGTAGCCCTTTGAATTTTATTAGTCACAGACTGAAGAGATTTATCAGAATCAAAATTTGCTTTAGAATTACCAGGCTTAACAATCTTATTTTCCAAGCCAACATGCTCTTTCCAAACTTCTTCAGTTTGGCCATCCATTGACTGAAGGACACCAGAATCATACACAATTCCAAAACTCTTAGCTTCGTGCCTCTTATCTTCCACATCTACTTCTTCATCCTTCCAAAGGCTTATTTCTTTAACAGTTTCTCTAAGCTGGTCAGCCACTGATTGAACAGGGTCATCAGAATCAAAACTTATTTCAGAACCACAAGACTGACTGTGCTTACCTCCTAGCTCGATGTGCTCCTGCTCCAAAATAGTTACTTGAGGTTGATCAACTATTGGCTGAACCAAGCAATCAGAATCCAAACGCATCTGAGAACAACTATTCTGGCTGTTATTGATTTCTAAGTCCGTACACTCTTCATTTCCATTTCCAGTAGGTTTAACAGCTACTTCAGGTTGATCAACCGCAGACTCAACAGAAGCATCAGAATTATGTGTTGATTTAGAAGCACTATATTCATCAATCTTATTTTTCAGGACGGCAACCTCTTCCTTCCACCGGTTTATTTTTTTAATTGCTTCCTGAAGTTGTGCAGAATTAAAAGTTATTTGAGAATCACTTGATTCACTGTTTTTGTCTTCCAGATCAACATGTTTTTCCTGCAAAAGGGCTAGTTGAGGTTGGTCAGTGACTGAATGAAGAGGAACATTAATATCCAAATTTATTTCAAAACTTCTAAGTTCAGTACTTTCATCTTCTGGGTCAACATGGTCCTCCTCCAAAACAGCTACTTGAGGTTTCTCAGTCATTGACTGAGAAGCAACATCAGAATCCAGAATTATTTCAGAACCACTATATTTATCATTCTTATTTTCTAGAACATGCTTCTGCTTTCTGGTGACTTTTTTAATAGCTACTTGAGGTTCAGCTACTGAATAATGAGGAACACCAGAATCTGAATCTGTTTCAGAACCACTAAATTCAGCACTTTTACCTTGGAATTCAGCATGCTTTCCTTTTTTAAGCCATATTTCCTTAACTACTCCCGGTTTGTGAGTCACTGACTGAAGAAGAATATCAGAATCCACATGTGTTTCAAAAACACCCTTGTTTTCTAAGTCTATGTACTTTTCTTTCTGAAGGTTTATTTCTTTAATGGGGTCTTCAGAATGTCCAGTCATTGAATGAAAAATGGTATCATAATTCAAACTTAATTCAGAATCAGTAGGTTCATTTTCCTTATTTTCTAAGTATAACTGGTCTTCTTGTTGAAGGTTGAATTTTTTAACAGCTACTTCAGGAGAATTAGTCACCGAATGAAGAGGGGTGTAAGAATCTGAACTTATTTCAGAACCACTGGGTTCACTGTTCTCCCTTTCTAAGTGTGCATACTCTTCTTTCCGAATGATTACTTCTTTAACAGCTACTTCAGGTTGATCACTTCCTGAATGAAGAGGAACATCAGAATCAAAAGCTATTTCAGAAACATAAGATTCATTATTTTTACTTTCCATATCAACAGGTTCTTCCTCATAAACAGATAGTTGAGGTTGGTCAATTACTGAACTAGCAGGAATATCTGAATCAAAAGTTATTTCAGAACTATTTGACTCATAGTTCTCATCTTCCAGGTCAATGTGTTCTTTATTTCTTCCAACACCCAGCTGAGACCGCTCAGTAACTGACAGAGGAGCGGGATCAGACTCAAAAGTCAAGTCGGAACTGGAGCATGCACAGCTATTAACTTCTATGTCGATATTTAGCTCTTTAAGATTTACTTCACCCAAAGCCTCTTGAAGCTCATCACTAGCTGACTGATAAGAAGAAGCAGGAGAATCAGAACTTAGATCAGAAATGCTAGACTGAATGCTCTTACTGTCCAAGTCAGTATCTTCTTTCTGAGGGTTCACTTCTTTAACTGCTACTTGAGGATGGTCAGTCATGAATTGAGCATCAGTGTCAGAATCCATTTCAGGATCATGATACTCATACTTCATATCCACATCAGTGTCAGAATCCATTTCAGGATCATGATACTCATACTTCATATCCACATCAGTGTCAGAATCCATTTCAGGATCATGATACTCGTACTTCATATCCACAAGGTAAGAACTCTCCTCTCTGAGAAGATTTATTTCTTCAATAGCCCTTTGGGGGTGCTCAAGAGAGACATCACAATCAAGACGTGCTTTAGCACTACTGGGTTTACGTTTCTTATGTTTTGGGTGGACTCGTCTACTTTTCAGATGTCTTTCTTTGACATCCAGTTGGGGATGATCAACTCCTGACTGAAAAGAAACATCACAATCAAAACCTGTTTCAGAACAACTTGATTCATCATACTTATCAACCAAGCCAGTGTAAACATTCTTCCTCAGTTTTATTTCTGTGACAGCCACTGGGGGTCGGTCAGCCACTGACTGAAGTGGAAAAACAGAATCAGCACTTATTTCAGAGCTACTAGATTCATAGTTCTTATCAATCAAACCAATGTGCACCTCCTTAGAAAGGTTTACTTCTTTTACAGGCTGTTGAGGGTAGTCATTAGTTGACTGAAGTGAGGCATCGCAGTCGAAATTCATTTCAGAACTACTAGATTCATAGCTTTGGTCAACCAGGCTAATATGCATTGCATTCTGAAGATTTATTTCTTTAACAATCACTGGGGATTGGTTGGTAACCAACTGAAGAGAGTCATCACAATCAGAACTTACTTCAGAACCGTAAAATTTATTATTCTTAGATTGTAAATCAACATATACTTCCCTGGAAAGGTTTATTTCTTTGGCAGTCACTTTAGATTGGTCAGTCAGAGAATGAAAAGAAGAACCGCAATCAAAACTCATTTCAGAATCTCTAGATTCACAGTTGTTATCTTCTTGGTCAATCTCCTTCCAAAGGCTCAAGTCTCGCATAGCCTCTTGGGGTTGAGGAGATGCTGACTGAAGAGAGCTACAATCAAATTTCAATTCAGAACTCGCTAAGGACTTCCGTTCCAAAAAGGCTGATTTGTTAAAAATCAAATGCTTTTCTTCTCGGGTATAATTCACATTAGAAAAGAATTTCTCATGGTACTGTGGAATGGCATCCTCAAAGATTCCTTTATTAGAAGGCATGTCAGTTTTATTCAGGTTTACTGCTGAGTTTACTTCTAACTCACAAGGAGAATCAACTCTTAAGGGCCCCTCCGTACTCATACGTTCACGGAATTTAAAGCCAGCTGACAAAATTTCGCCCTGAGATTTTACAGCTTTCTGTAAAACCAGTTTATCTGAATTTACATCTAAAGATCTACTGTTTGATTCTTTAGGTTTCTGATACGAAACTGAAGATGTTTCTAGATTGAATGATAGTGTAGGCTTTCTAGAGACCCTGTCTAGCTCCTCAAGGTGTTTGTCAACTTTGTTTGGGTCACATTTGTTAACTGAATCCAAATGCGCTGTTGTTGGTAACCCAGTCATATTAGTTTTGACTGGTCTATCACAAGAACTTTCAGGTAAACGACTAGCAGGAGCATTAAAAATCACTGGGGGACGTGTTAAGTTGTTTCCATTATTTATAGCTTGACCAATATCTATTGAATTACATTTTTTCATACCAGTCCCAATTTTATAAAAAAACTCCAAGGGCTGCTGCTGTCCTTTCTCCAGTTTCTGAATAACTGATGGTCGAATTGACACCTCCTCTGTACACTGCTGAGATTGACTAGGTATGGAATGTAACACTTCGATAAGTTCAAAACTCTCAGGGCATATATCTTCTTCGGTTTCAGTACCATCCCCATTCTGTTCTTCAGAAAGAGAATCATCCAAATGAATCACTTCAGAAGCTGACGCAGGATTCACACGTTGCACTGATCTAAAAAGAAAGGGGGGAAATACAGAAAAATATTCTAATCTCAGTTTAAAATGTTAAAATAAGGGCATAATAAATGTTATTTTCTTTCTGTTCTGGGCTATCCTTAAAGGACCAAGAATTAAGGCAATCACACCAGGCTACATACTATATGTACTTCAGGGAGGTAATCAGTGCAGAAGCTGGGAGAAGCTTCACCAATTGCTACTTAAACACAAATGGCTCATCAACATGAGAAAAATGCAAATAAAGCCATATATCGTTTTTCAGTTATCACAGTGGTAAGTAGCAAAAAGTAAGTAGCAAAAAGTTTGACACAAGTTACTTAACCCTGTATGCCTCAGATTCTGCCTCCAAAAAAGGAAATAATATACTATTTTCCCTCATGAGATTATTTTGAAGAGTGAAGAGTAAATTAGTTGTTATATGTAAAGAGTATTAAAAAGAAAAAATAGCCTGGCACATAGTAAGCATTCACAAATGTTAGCTAATATTACTTTGACACATCATTTTGGCAAGGATGTAAGGACATGAGCACTTTTTAATACATTGTTGGTAGGAGTATAGATTAGTTAACATCTGTGAACATTATTAGTTAACCTCTATGTCGATTAGTAACCTCTATTAAGAAGAATTTGGCAATGTTTACTAAAATTAAAAATGTACATACCCTCTGACCTAGTAACTCCACTTTTGGTTTTCTCTTGTGTCTAACGAGGAAAGTATCAGAATATTCACTGCTACATTTTTTTTTTTTGATAAAAGCAAATGACTGAATCAACCTTAATGCCCATCAACTGGATATTGGTTAAATTCTCAATGGTACTTAATGGTATACACAATGTAGGTTTTTAAAATAACAAGGCAACTCTATATAGACAAAAAAGATCAATTACTATAAATACTGTTAGTGAAAATCAAACGTATATAGAATGCCATCATTTATGTAAGCTAGAACGGAAAAAAGCTATACACTTCGAATAGCTATAGAAGGACATGTAAGAAACACTTGTTACCTCTAGAGAAGTGATTACAGGATGGCAGCAATGTAAGGAAGACATACTTTTCAAAGTGCCTTTTGAATTATGTCTACATGTTTGTATTTCCCATTCAAAATTTTGAATTACGTTGCTTTTTAAAAGATCTAAAACTTTCATATCTAAAACTAGTCTATGACTCTCTTCTACCAGCATCAACGCAGCATGCTTGACCCAAAGCATTTTAGGGATTGCTCTTTCATATATGTAAGCAGCTGACCTAATGATATTGCCATGTCCTGGATTCTTAATTAAAGAGAAGCAAAATTTCAGTCATACAACCACCACCCACTAAGGACTTACGACTATGTAGAAGGTCCTATGCTAGGTACTGAGGCAAAGAAAGATAAGCTGTCCCTCAAGGACCACTCAAGTAGCCACAGAAGGTAGATACATAAAAATAATTACGATTCAAAGTGCTAAGTGTTATCATATCTAGACCTATTAAAAAAAGATTAAACTGTCACAGCCAAAAGGAGCCTGAGGACACATGGTAAGTTAATGTAATGTGGAAATCTGGAGGGGATTGTGAAACAGAAAAAAGAGGTAAAACTAAGGAAATCTTAGTTTAGAAAAACTTAGATTAGGTAAAAACTAAAAAAAGTGAATAATCTATAGACATTAATGTATTAATATTAGTTCATTACTTCCAATAAATGTACTATATTACAGTACAATGTTAATAATAGGGAAACTGGGTGAGAGAGTATTATAGGGATGTTGTACTACTTTCTCAATTTTTCTGTAAATCTAAAACTGTTTTAAAACTTAGTTTATAAAAATAAATAAATAAAAATAAACAATTAACACCTAAAAAATTAAATATTTTCCAATTTGAGCAATGCCACATTTGTCTAAGAGAACATGCAAACATATATTAGCCACATGCAACTGTTTTTTTTAACATGAGTATTACTGTTACTATCTTTCCCATATAAATTTATTACCTTAATTAAAGTTTAATTTGGAATTTGGAAAATAAAATAGTTAACTAGGCACCACGTGCTCACTTCGGCAGCACATATACTAAACGCTGCACCAAAATAGTATCATGGCGGCACCAAAAAATCCATAATTTTTCATACTTCTGAATTCTAATCAATGAAATTGCAGTGCAATAACCACTGTACCACAGTTTTTCAGAACACTAGACTATCTTCATTTGCCTTAAGGACTATCACAACAGTCTCAAAATAAAACTAATTTTGTAACATGTAGCTAAAAACAAAAAAAAAAAAAAAGAGGAAGGAGAAAAGAAAAGACAAAAGGCAGAATCATACAATCAAACAAGTGGGTAAAAATCCCAAAAAAGCTCAGGAACTGCCATTTGGATGCTTTGATTTGCATCTGTATTTGTGTATGTGTATGTTTAAGATTAACAATTAAATCATAATCCCTATTTCTAGTCATTTGTAACTAACTTTACAACAAAAAAAGCCCTCCAAAAAATCTAACCATTAAAGGTTAAAAATCACTTTCATGTAACTCGTAAAAAATAAAAAAAAATTTAAAACTGTAAGTAAATAAAACAATTATTTAATATATATCCAAATCTATGAGACATGACCAAAATGAAAATTTCATACTTTTAAATACTACCATTAAAAAAAGAATTAGTAAACACAACTAAGTGAGCACCCAATTTAAGAAGATGGAAAAATAACCAAATTGTTCCCATAAAAAAAGTAGAAGAAATAAGAAAAAGGAAAAAACTAATGAATAAGAAACAAAAACAAGGCAAGAGCTGATTTTCAGGAAGGCTAAAAACAACAGAAAAACCTGCAATGTCTAGACAGCAGGAGCAGAGAAAAGAAATTTTTTAAAAAACCATAAACTTATAATTTAGAAAGCCAATAAATAAAATAATGTAGTGTTGGCATGGGATTTTTAAAAAATCAAGGGAACAAAATGGTATTCAAAATTAAATATATATGCACAATACACAAATACAGGAATTTAAATTATAATAAAGGTGGTGACATTTTTTTATCAGTGGGGATAATTAGAGATACACCTATAAAAAATTAAGTAGAAGTCCTGCCTCATACCACATATAAAAACAAATATTTATTTATTTTGAGATAGGGTCTCACTATTGCCTGGCAGTGGCGTCATCAGAGCTCACTGCAACCTCAAACTCCTGGGCTCAAGCAACCCTCCTTCATGCCTCATCCCCTCCAAGTAGCTGGGACTACAGATGCGTGCCACCACTGGGCTTATTTATTTTTTTTAGAGACAAGGTCTATTTGCTCAGGCTGGTCTTGAAGTCCTGGCTAGCCTCAAGTGAATGCTCACCTCAACCCCCCAAAGTGGTAGGCAGGGTTGAAGGCAGAAGCCATTGAGCCCAGCCTGATTAAAAATATTTAAAAGAATAAACAAGGACATCAAAAAAAGACATGAAAGAAGCCATTAAAAAAAATTCTCCTTAGAGCTGATTATGTCAAAATGTTTAATTTTTGTATGGTAGAATACAACATATACAATTAAAAGACATATAACAGATTCTGAAAAAATATTTATAACATGTTTAAAATACAAAAGACTATCATCCATACTCAAATATTGCTTACAAATCCAAAATATACAAATAACGCAATAGAAAAACAGGCAAAGTATATGAACAAACAATTCACAGAATAAAATACGAGGTCTGTCCGGAAAGTATCCAGCCATTCTTAATGTAATATATAATAGTACATGGCTGGATACTTTCCGGACAGACTTCCTATGGTCAATAAATATACAAAAAGAAGTTCCACTTTACTCATAAGGACATGCTAATTAGGAGGTATACTTTTTTGGTCTATTATATTGGTGGTGGGGGAAGAGGTAGATAATCCCAGTGTTGGCAAGAATGACAAGAAATGAGCATTCTCGTATACTCCTGATGTGAGTATAAATAGGTATAGCCTTCTAGGAAGTGTCCAGCAAGGATTTAAAATGTCCAGCAGAGGGGTGGGGCTAAAAAATAAAATAAAATATCCATACGCAATTTGAGCAACAAAATTAATAATAAATAGTAGCAGATTAAAACACACAGAATAGGCTGGGTACAGTGGCTCATGACTGTAATTCCAGCACTTTGGAGGTCAAGGTGAGAAGATTGCTTGAGACCAGGAGTTCAAGATCAGCCTGGTCAAGATAGCCCTGTCTCTACGAAAAATAGAAAAATTAGCCAAGCATGGTGAAGCACATCTGTAGTCCCAGCTACTGGGAAGGCTGAGGCAGGAGAATCGCTTGAGCCCAGGAATTTGAGGTTGCAGTGAGCTATGATGACACCACCATATGCTAGCCCAGGCAACAGAGCAAGATCCTGTCTCAAAAATAAAACAAAACCCACACAATAAAAGAAATATATTCATGAGTCTATAATGTTATAAATAAATACTTGAATAAATAGTGAGGGAATAAGATTTTGATTAATAAATGTAATACCTGTTTCAGGGAAGAATCATCAATGGATGCTTAAAATAAGTCAGTGAAAGTAAGATGAGAAACAGGATTATTTACATAGTCAAAGTTCTTCCCCACAAGATTCTTATTAACTACAACAGGAAAAACAGTAGCTTTACAGTGGAGTAACTTTGCAGACACAACCTTAATCAAGTGACCCAAGTTAACATTGCCAGCAATGACATGGCAACGTCATGTGTCTCCTGGTTTAACACACTGAGAAGGGTACAATATCAGTTCTGAGATATTCCTACCCAAAATTCATAAACTAAGTTTAATCATAAAAAAAATCAGGCAGAGAGAAATTTGAGAATATCCCATAAAATAACTGGCCAGTACTCTTTAAAAAGAATCAAGGTCTTAAAAGCAAAGAAAAACTGAGGAATTATTCAAGATTAAGGGAAACCAAAGATATATGACAACTAAATGCAATGATCCTGGGCTGGATCCTGGTCTAAAAGGAGGACATTAGTAGGACAACTTAAAAAATTTAAATTAGGTCTCTTGATTAGCTAATAGCATGGTATCAGTGTAATTTCCTAGTTTTGATCATTGTGCTTCAGTTATTTTAAATTTAGTATCTGGAGAAACCAGGCGAAGAAGATACCAGAATTTCTTGTACCAGTTATGTAATATTTTTGTAAGCCTAAAATTATTCCAAGATGGAAAATTAAAAAATAAAGTAAATTTTTTAAGGTCTATAAACCCTGACCCATAAATTCAAATTCTGGAAGCTGTATCACAGAAATAATTGCATGTACAAATGTTTGCTGAAGCATTATTTAGAAGGGTTATAAACTGGAAATTTATACTGACCCCAGAATAGGCTAATTCTATTCTAATCACATTTTTTTCCCTCTGACTTTTCCCCATTAAAACATTTTCACCATTTCTAAATTCTAGTGACCTGCAAAGCAGAGAAATTCATCCCTTTTTCTACTTATTGGTGCACATCTCAGCTAAATCTGCACAGATGTGCTAATGATTTTGTTTTGCCTTATCTTGTACAGCTGGAGCTGCTAACTCACTATAGTATTTAATTTTCTACCAATGTTTTTCTTTAACATAGAACATTAACTCTTAAATGTTTTCAAAATAATTATTTATTAAAACTCCTAAAACAAACTGATATAAGAAAAAGCTATAAAGATATTGACAAATTATAACAACAGCCACTTCTATCTGATATCTCTTCTATTGAGAATTAGTAAATAGTTCCATTAATGTGGAACTGACTTAGTTTTGACTTTGACTACCCTTATTCTGCCACTGTCATCAGCATTTGTTACTAATCTTTTAAAAACTATTTTTGTTCCCACCTTCCCCCTGTTTAATCTATGACATACTTATAAAACACATTAATGGTATAAATTATTTATTGGCCTAAGATTTTTATTTAGGAAAAAACATAGTGTAATCATATCTTCTATAGTGGAATTTCTTACTTAAGCTAAGAAAAATTAAAAATTGCAAATGGAAGTTACTAGATAAAATTCCACTTTTTATTTTTTGATTCAAGATTCACTTAAAGTAGTATTGGGACATTAACACAAACACCTATTGTAACATATAACTATGTACAAATATTATTCCAATTAGCTACTTTACCTGTTTTCTTGACAATAAGACGGGTGGTGTCGCAGTACATCTTGCAAGAAACGGTCCATCAGACTAGTGCCACTCATCTGATTTCTACTCACTCTGATCATGCTTCTGTGCTGAGCACTGAACAAATGCTATAAAGAAAAAAAGAAACTGAATATTTTTAAATGGGTAATTCTCATTAGTGGTGAGAACTTCACAAAATGGACTCATTTATATATTCCTGGTAGGATTATACTAATAGCTTTTCTATAAAGCAATTCTAAAATATCTAAAAGCCATAAAATTATCTTTCCCTTAAATATAGTAATAATATTTCTCTACATATATCCTAAGGAAATCATCTTAAAAGTGGATGATTAATGCAAAAAAAGATGCTATCACAGCATAACAACAAAAAACTAGAAACCCTCTGAGTGTCTTAACAGTAAAATCCTTTAATTATAATATGATCTAAGATGTATTACTATGCAGCTATTTAAAATAATATGAAGACATTTCTTCTGGAGGAATAGCTGTTGCTGAATACAAAGAATTTTCAAGTAACATGGAAAAATGTTTTACATAAAGAGAAAAAATGGAGGATGCAAAAATCTCATGTATGGTTTTTATCTTAAACTACAATTTAAAAATGCGTAGACAAGTAAATGGAAGACAATATAGCAGTCCCACACTTAACCACAGGGGTATGTTCCAAGACCCCCAGTGGATGTCCAAATGCAAGGATAGTATCAAACATTATATATATATTTTATTCTATACATACGTCCCTATGATAAAGTTTAATTTACAAATTAGGCATAGTAAGAGATTAACAACAACTGATAGTAAAACAATTATAACAATATACTCTTTTAAAAAAAGTAAAATAAGGTTACTTGAACACAAGCACTGTGACACTTGACAGTTGCTTTAATAACCAAGCCAGCTACTAAGTGACTACTGGTTGGGGAACATACACAGAGTGAATACACTGGACCAAAGGAGGATTCACATCATGGGTGGGACAGTGTGGGATGGTGTGGGACGGCACAAGATTTCATCAAGCTACTCAAAACAGTATGCAATTTAAAACTTATGAACCGTTTATTTCTAGAATTTTCCATTTAATATTTCCAGATCGTGGTTGACTGTGGGTAACTGAAATCAACGGTGCATAAGGGGGAAACTACTCTATAACAAAATTATAAAAG